AGGACCCTTGGGGCATGATTGAGATTAATCCTCCTCATTAAAGTCCTGTATATAGTATCTTCAAATAAATACAGATGAGAAAAACTGAATGGATTTGCTCCCAATCCCTGCCATTTTAATTAGAGGAGTGGCAATCTCATGGGGAAATTTGCTATAAGCCAACAATGTTGTAGAAATATGTGAATATTATATTATTGGGACACATTTCTCCAAAGGTCTCCTGTGTTACTACACATTTTGAAAACAGGAGTTCTTATTAGAGAACATGGGCTCCCTAAGCTCAGGGTTTCTTAGGTATCATACAAGCCCATTACTCATACGGTATTCACTTGAACTGTTGCACATTGCATTGTGGAACCTGAGGGCAAGAGAAACAGATGTTACTATGAGGCTCATGCTGCTTGCTGTACTATGAGTATTAAAGTCTTCTATACAATCTGAAAGCATAGTGTTTTCCATTGGTATCCATGAAAGTGATGCCGGCTAACTTGTTACCATGCAAATAGGGTCAAATTCCCAACTCACAATTTCTAAGAGCATTACATCACAAACGTTAGCTGTAAGAGATCCTGGGACTATAAACAGGACTATAGCCAGGAATATTATACTCTCAAACAAATTTGGTATTCTATTTGCAAAGAAAAAAGAATGGTTATTGAGCCAGCCAGGTAAACAAAGCCTGTGAACCATTAGAGTTTACCTTAAAAAGCCAGGTGGCTTTCTCAAATTTCTGCATAAACCTTTACTGGGCCAGAAGCATTAATCCAACAACAAAAGGATGTGTTTGTGGTTGCTAAATTTCTACTTTTGTCCACAAGGAGAAGACAGCCATTTCTCCATAGCTACCTGCTACAGATTGGTCAGTCTATTTTGGCTCAGTGACTTTCTCATTTCCATGCTTTCAATGATAAGTAACCCTTCCTAATTGACATATAGTATGCTCTCCTGTTATTAGTCTGTCGGAATTCTGTGGGCCTGAAATCTCTTTATTGAATGATTCTATGTAAGTTATAGATTTATTTTTATTTCATAATCTATTGGAAATTAATCTTATTCTTATTCCTATATCGTTAATATACTGTCATGGTTGAAAGTCAGGACTAGGAAGAGATCATTCGTATTTGAACTGGAGCTTTTCCACTTACTTGAAAGTTACGTGACCTCTCGCTACCTCTGCTTTGTCATTTGTAATAATAATAATAATAATAATAGTAATAATAATAACTACCTCAGAGGACTCTTAGGAGGATTAAATGAGATAATACATGTAAAGCAGAACAGAGGCTGGATATAGTAAATGTTCTCTATTAGATTAGCCCTTATTATTATATTCTTGAGTAATAGATTATTGCCAACTCCTTTATACTGATCAGTGATTAAGATCATAGGCTCTGTCAGACTTTAAATATCAGATCTGATACTTCCTAGTTATGTTTTTTGTGGACAAGTTACCCATTGGTTGTTTCTGTCTCCCTATTCATAAAATTGTGACAGTAGTATTCTTCATAGGGCTACCAAGAGCGAATGATATGTTATCTCATTCTAGTATCTGACAAATTAAAATGCTCAGAGATATTATTTTTAATACTTTAATTGCTGAAATATTTTATCACACTTTCTATTGGTATGGGGGCTGTTTCTCACATATTTTTCTCTGTTAAAATATTATTAACTTCCACAGTCAAGATTGAAGTCATTCTATAAAGCCTTCTTTAATCCCTTGTGCAAAATTAAACACTTCTTTACACACCAGTAGCACTGAGTTTAAATCACTCAGAACACTTAACTCACATTTTCTCTATTAAGAGAGACACATCTTTTGTTAATTTTAAGTTTATTAAAGACTAAGACTACATTTTGTAATACTTTTTATCTCATACTTTGCATTGCACTAAGCAAATGAGCAATGGATATTTCCCAGAAGATGTATTTTTAAAAACTCAACACTCCCTAACCTATTTTCAAGGCTTTTAAAATATGTTTTGAATCAATCCATTCATATACAGTTTCCACATTTTTTCATATTTTCATCCATTTACTTAGAATTAAAGATATCAATTTTCTTTTTTAAGAAATTTAAAGTAGACATTTGCATTGTGCCCTTAATTATAATTAACTGCTTTTGAAAAGGGGGTTTCTCTACTTAACTTGATATAGAAGCCTAAATCTTTATTAAAAGTATATTTTTTCTAAATAAAATATATTTTCAATAACATTTGGCCCCAGGAAGCTGCCTAATTCCATTCATAGTTGATAGCTAATTCATTTTTTAATGGCAGCAATTCTTGATAACCAACACAAAAGTCGAATACAATTCTGATGTTTGAACTTAAAATGATGGCACTAATGAATGGATATGTAAATACAAGTAGCTCTTTTCAAAGTACAAAGTGTTTGGATAGCTTGATGTTTATTTTAGACTACAGTCCAATGCTTTTCATGCAAGATTTATTGTAAGTGTAACTATAAAAGGGAAATTTTCTTTCATTAAACAAGTTTTTGACTGGAAATAACTTTAATAATAAAAACAGAAATATTTTTCATAAATTATTAAGTTAAATAAGTGAAAAAGCAAGTTCATCCCAAGAATAAAAGAAAATTCCTAAAGCAAACCTCATATCTAACTAGATGACCCAATCATATGTTACATGATTATTCCATCTTATTTACTCAAAGAAAAACTCAGGAGAAAAGAATAAGAAATTTCAAACATGTATAAATGATTCTGTGACTATGTATTTAGTATATATTTTCAAAATATAGTTACCTCACCCACAATAAAAATGTCTTCTTTTATACAAATTACCTGACTATAATCTATGTAGGACTTGGAAACAAACTAACAAGGAATTTTCTTTCTTTATGGTCATTTATAATGAGAGTAATGTTCTTGTTTTAATGTTGAGAAAATGCCTTAATCAAAAGTCACTTTTCTGTTCCAAATCCTAGCACTTTGGGAGGCTGAGGTGGGCAGATCACAAGGTCAAGAGATAGAGACCATCCAGGCTAATATGGTGAAATTCTATCTCTACTAAAAACACACAAAAAAATAGCCAGGTGTGGTCGCATATGCCTGTAGTCACAGCTACTCACGAGGCTGAGGCAGGAAAATCACTTGAACCCAGGAGGTGGAGGTTGCAGTGAGCCGCAATCATGCCACTGTACTGCAGCCTCAGCAACAAAATGAGAGTCCGTATCAAAAAAAAAAAAAAAAAAAAAAGTTACCTTCTGTTCTTTATTTCATAGGACTATTTTCATAGTACTAACTAAAAGCACCATGGTATGCATATACCTATGTAATAAACTTGCACATTCTGCACATGTACCCCGGAACTTAAAGCATAATAATAATAAGAGTTAAGGTTTATAAATTTATTATTTCAATACATGTTTGATCATAGGCCATAAGAATACCATTTAAGTTATAAAGCCCACAGATAATACTGTAAGAAAATTAACCAAGGCTTATTCAGCAAGTTGATTACAGAGAATTTACTATGTTCGCTAAATAATCCTATCAGGGAATTTCAGACTTCTGTTGGGTTCAATCCTTACTTTTACTGATGAGCCAATTATTTTTAATATCCCTTTTGTTTATTTTATTCATTTCAGTCTCTTAGTCTGTATTCTGTGACCCTTTAATAACATGAATTAAGCAACAAAAATAAGGATTTCCGTCTTGGAGACAAAGGAGTATGTTTCCAGAGAGTGCCACAGACTTTGGCTGAAGCCTCTCCACCAAGTTTAATGGGACTCTGGCTGCCAAAACCCCATGCAATGATTGAATGTTTAGGGCTAAATGTAACTGCCACTTGCTCTCCCTCCCGGGGAGTCCACAGCAGCTCTTTCTTATTTGTTGCTTCCCAGATTCCTGCCAACTTGTTTGTTCTCTGTTCTATTGATGGCACTTTCTGGCTGACTCTTGTGTAACTGTTCTCCAATATTGTTCACATTGCTGGGTAGCTTAGGATGAGAAGGCAATTTTTAAAATGTTTATTTACTTATTTGCCAAGAAAAGTAAGTTATGCTACAGGGAGTGAAATCTTCTCTAATTTTTTCAGAAAAATGTAAAAACTGAGCCCATCCATACTGAACAGAAAATTTTTCTAAGACTCTTTCTCAAGACAACCTCTAAGAAAACACATGTTTCAAAATATGCATTCTTTAAAAAGATCTGTCCATTTTCCCTCATTTGGTCATACTCATCTATATTTTACTTCTCCCCCTAAAGACACAAATAAGAGGCAAGTATAGGATAAGATCTCTGGATTAAAAAAAAAAGATAGATACGTTCAGAAAAATATATGTCAACCAAAATATTATTTGGTTTAGTTTTTAACGAAGCACCAGTAAATATACTGAGACGAAGAGTTGTCTTCTCAAATTATGGTAAATTTAGGGACAATGCTTTGTGTTTTACCTTGGAAGATTAAATAAATAGTTTTTGTAGTACTGAATACTTTTGTGAGATTTTCTACATAGATAACATACAATATGAACTGTATGATGATATAATTTTAGTGATTCCAAGGAGCTAAGTACTCAGTAGATATTAAAATCTACACAAGGGTGTAAGCAAGATCTTTCAGATTTCATTTAGCCAACTAATAGAAAGAGGTAAATTTTCAGTGTTCTAGGGTTATCCAATATGATCTTCTGCATTATACAGAGGTATACATAGTTTTGAAAGGGAAGAAAGACAGTGTTGTTTTTATGACTAAATTCCCATTATTAGAAAAATCAAGATGTAATAGAGTCAGATTCTCTCCAGAAACATTTGTAAACTGAGCATTAAGTGGTACAAGCATTTATATTTAAACTTCACTTTATACCAAAATGTTGGACTTAAACACAGTAACTTAAATACCTAAGAAGACTATGACAAAACAAGAAAACCACAAATAACAATGAATAATTTCCTTGAAATTTTTAAGATTTCATGAAATTGCTTCTCATGCAAATATCAGCTTACAAAACTCACACAAATTATAAACACTTACCATATTCACTATCATAGAATATAATGAACTTCTGCCAGGCATACTCTGTGACCACTCTTAAGATAACGTCATTCAAGTAGACAGGTGGACGAACTGAGAGAGTGTAGTCATCATTCCTGTTGCTCCGCGTGAGTCCACAGCCACTCCTTGGGGTCCCAGCTGTTGAGCGCTGAATGAAGAGGTGGGGGATATGCATGGCATCTGCCAGAGACTGGAGGGATCCTGCTGATGTACAGCCAATGGAGCTGACCAGGGCCAAGATGCCTTGATTCATAAGTTCACAGGCTGTAAGAAAGCACAGTAATATTCAAAATGTCAGTGGGTTTCACATATTTTCCCTCTTTGAGAAGCAGTGGATAGATAAAGCTTACAGATTTTTATACAGGTATGCAAATGTTTTAGAAAAGAACATTCTATATGAGGAGATCCTCAAATTACAAAGTGCTACTGGTATTTCAAGAATTCTGCTCTTATTAGCTATGTGACTTGTGCAAATTACTTAGCTTCTCTTTGCTCAGTTTCATCAACTGTAAAGAGGGTAAAATTATGAATCTTCCAGGATTATTGCAAGGATTAGAGAAAATACAGTGTCTGTTATTTGCCTCTCACATGATAAACATTCAATTAGTGGGAGATAAACTTTTATAATTATCAATTTATAATTCAGAGTAAAGATAATTCCCTACTGAATGTATAATACAAAGTTTCAAAAAGTAGATAATAAGTAAACTGGTGCGTAAATGGAAAGATGAAGGTTTGGAGGAAAGCATTTCTGGCCACAGAAAACAGTTATTCTGGTATCTAAAAACTTGATTACATTGCCCCTTTTCATAAATTGGAGAAATAAAAATGTTTTTGTTCTTTTCTTTGACAGTAAGAAAACTTATGGTCAAATCAAATCAAATACTAAATTGTAGCCACTGTCTCATTCTGGTTCCCAGATCAACAATTTATAATTTCTACTATATGGTTACAATCTATTTTCACTTTAACTATTCTATGTGCATATCTCAAAAGGTACTGAAAACTGGATCAAATGTAAATTATAAGCATATATAAAGAAATTGCATACACAAAAAAAGAGTTGAGAGGTATAATGACAATCTTTGAAAAGATTAAAAATAAATTCAAAAATAAATGCAGAATAAATCAATGAAGAAATTATTTTTATATTGCAAGCTCATTTGTTATAACTGGTTCAGCCTTATTATAGATTTTAGGCATTCTAGGTATAACATTCTTAAGATTCAAAATTTATTATGGATTGTTTTACATAGTTCTTTAAAAATTTAAAGGAAAACTTAATAGTAAGTTCTTGTATATAATTAATTGGCCAGTTAATGAAGGCTGATTTAAAGTGCAAGCTTAAAAGTACTGTACTAATGATAAGCATATAATCATCAAATAAATTTATTATGATTAATGCCAAGCCAACCAATACATGCAAAATAAATAAATAATTATTAGAGCCATATTTTTCAAGCATTGCCTCATGAAAGAGATTATACTCATTTCCAATAAATGTGAAAGCATCAAGGATGGATGCTTCGTCTTCTTTTTTGTTGTTTGTTTGTTTGTTTGTTTGAGATGGAGTCTTGCTCTGTCACCCCGGCTGGAGTGCAATGGCATGATCTCAGCTCACTACAACCTCCACCTCCCAGGTTCAAGCAATTCTCCTGCCTCTGGCTAAGTTTTTTTTTTTTTTTTTTTTTTTTTTTTTTGTATTTTTAGTAGAGATAGGTTTCACCATGTTGGTCAGGCTGGTGTCAAACTTCTGACACTATCATCTACCTGCCTCAGCCTCCCAAAATGCTGGGATTACAGGCATGAGCCACTGTGTCCGGCCCAGATGGATGCTTCTTAGGCCATAACATTTTGAGGTCTAATTTTAGCAAAAAATCACATGTTCTACTCATGTACATGAATTCAACTTTCATAGAAAATAATATGTTTATACTTAGAAGTTCAATAAATTAATACAAAAAGAGTAATCAAATTTTTAATTCATAACTTTCATATGTATGACCATTAATCATTTATATAAGCAAAAAGAAAGTCACTTTTTAGAAGAGATTTTGTTTGTAGCATTTAAAATGAAAATAAGAAAAGTGCCTTAATGTGTACACAGCTGGATTCAAACTTCAGATTACATCAATTACAGGTAATTAAATAAATATAATATTTTACATACTTCTACCACAAAACTTATAAAGTTATCAACATTGAAATTTGGAGAAAAATTTACTTTCACTATTATATTCTGTCACATATAACACTGTAGGAAAACTGACTGTTTTAATCTTCAGATTTAGAAGGATAAATTCCAAAATTAAAAGTCATACATTAATCTTGCTTAGCAGATAATTTGCTTTAGCATATATTCTTGTTTTTTTCAATCCAATGTTACTTTCTATTAATCTCCGTTAGAACACAAATTAAGCAAATACTAAAACCAGTTATTTTTTATAAGAAAATGTGTTGTTTTTTGATTACTATTTGGTATTACTTATCATGCAATTTGTATTAGTAGGAATACCTGAAATTTTCCTACAAAATCAAAATAGAAATAATCAAAAATTATAGTCAGAAAACATATAATATCAGGTCTGGAAGATAATTTGGAGATCATGCAGTTGAAGGATGGAAAATTTGCTTTGCCTGCTGTGCTTATGATGACTTGTTGGTAAATTGGCATCCTGGAATGTTGTTTTGAGAGTTTGAGACTCAATAAGAAAAAGTATCAAAAGCATTTTGTTAGGTTTCTCATAGAAACAGACTGGGAGAGTAGTGGCCTGTGAGTTACAAATGAGCATCCCTCTGTTAGTACCCAACCCTTTATTGTCAAGAAATCACACACACACACACACACACACACACACACACACACACTTAAAGAACAAAATAGATGACCCAGCTCTCTAATCCACTGTCCACTGTCCTTTTCACCACAACAAGCATAAATGGAGAGTCTTGTATTTGTATCCTTAAAATTTTGCTTAGCAAAGACAAAGCTCTAAATTTGATAAAACTCAATTTGACATCGTTTTATTGTCCAGTTTGTTGAAAGGACAGATTCACAAGAAAAAAACAAACCCCTTCGAAAGTGGAGGAAGGATATGAACAGACGCTTTTCAAAAGAAGACATTTATGAGGCCAACAAACATAGGAAAAATGCTCATCATCATTGGTTATAAGAGAAACACAAGTCAAAACCACATGGAGATACCATCTTAGGCCAATTAGAATGGCAATCATTAAAATGTCTGGAGACAAGAGATGCTGGAGAGGATTTGGAGAAGTAGGAACACTTTTGCACTATTAGTGAGAGTGTAAATTAGTTCAACCATTGTAGAAAACAGTGTGGCAATTCCTCAAGGACCTAGAAATAGAAATTCCATTTGACCCCGCAATCCCATTACTCGGTACATATCCAAAGGATTATAAATCATTCTATTATAAGGACACATGCACAGGTATGTTCATTGCAGCACTGTTTACAATAGCAAAGACCTGGAACTAACCTAAATGCCCATTGATGATAGACTGTACAAGAAAAATGTGGCACATATACACCATGGACTACTACAAAGCCATAAAAAACGATGAGTTTGTGTCCTTTGTAGAGACATGGATGAATCTGGAAACCATCATTCTCAGCAAACTGACACAAGAACAGAAAATCAAACACTGCATGTTCTCACACATAGGTGGGTGTTGAACAATGAGAACACATGGACACAGGGAGGGGAGCACTACACGCTGAGGTCCGTTGGAGGGGAATGGGGAGGGACAGTGGGGGGTAGAGAGGTTTGGAGGAATATCGTGGGAAGAAATGCCAGATACAGTTGATGGGGGTGATGGAGGCAGCAAACCACCTTTCCAAGTATGTACCTATGCAACAATCCTGCATGTTCTGCACATGTACCCCAGAACCTAAAGTGCAATTTTATATATATATATATATATATATATATATATATATATATATATATAGAAAGAAAGAAAGAAAGAAGGTAGTAACACTGAAGAGGAAAGGAAGACCTCACACGACTAAAATGAATTGGGACTGGACGACTCAAAATAAAACACTAGTTGTGCACATTTAAGAACGGGCCTCCACAGTAACCTGCCATTTCCCCTTCAAGGCTCTAATTTGAGGCCCATTTTGCCAAAACAAAATGTTGGTTGAAGCGTGGAAGATAGAAATTGATTTGCTCTGGAACTATAGGGACCTAGATAAAGGTTAGTATAAAAATTAGACTATAACTCATGTCAGCTGAAAGGAGATTTCAGTAAATAAAAGACTGCAATAAGAACAGAAACAAAGCTTAATAAAGCAGACTACCTTTTGCAAGAATTTCATGTCTTGACAATTAAAATACTTTATTATTATGAGTTGTAGTTTCACAGAGTGCATAGTCAGTTCATTAGATAAAGAATGGGAACTGAATTTGGAAGATCAGAACGTGTGTGTGTGTTTATCAACTACTTTAAATTAAAATAATCTAAACCTAGACCATCTCAATGGCGTATTTCTTTATCATTTTTTCAAGCTTTATGATTTATTTACACTATATATACACATATAAAAAAATCTGTATATACACCATATTGAAAAGCTTGCTGGTTTGTGACTCCAGCTGTTTGAGATTCTAACACTATCAAAGATGTTTCAAGTTTGAATTAACTGCCAAAAGCACACCTATTATTTTTATTATTTTTAATAGCAATTGCAATTAGCAACACTTTTACCCTTTGTGGTCACTCTACAGTTATGTAATTTAATTCTGCTCTATAAATGTGTATATTTAAGCTAAGTTATATTCGTGTAAACAATCATTTTCATTTCTTAAGCTAAGCATTTTGAGTCTTTTTTTTTCCTTAGTAAAATAAGACAAAAAATAAAACGCATAGAGTTAAAAAAATTTATTACCTCTTACTGAATACTCAGTGAGAACTCAGTGAAACATTTTTGGGTAGCATTATAGTTTTTGAACCCATATATTCTTTGTGATTTTTTTTTTCTGACTTGTTTATACTGACCAATTGGTCCTGATACAACTTCTTCCAGTGATGTTATGTCACATCAAGGCTTTAGCACATTACATTCATACACTGCTATGGTTTGAATGTGTCCCCCAAGTTTAGGTATTGAAAACTTGATCCCCAAAGTGGTGGTGTTGGGAGGTGCAACCTAATGGGATGTGTTTGGGTCATGGGGGCACTACCTGTTTGAATGAATTAATGCTATTATTGTGCCAGTGGGCTCCTTATAAAAGGACAGG